TACCACGTGGATAAAGTTAACGGTGTTGTAAGAGAAATTGGAGGGAAATTAGCTGGTTGCCTAAATTGAAAGTATATTGAAAGTACATTGCCAAAATTGGCTGAATTGAAAGTACGTTGCCTAAATTTGATAATTCACAAAAGTACGTTGCCTAAAACATTAATTTAGTGTTCAGAAAAATATTCAAGGTGTGTAGATCGACAAAGATTTCTGGGATTGGAAGGATTAAAACAAATAGCACACACTTCATGTTGGTGTGTCGTGGGTGACCCACCACTTACCATAAAAGCCTCAAATTTTTGTGCTAAACTATATATCAACCTTTGTCGATAAATCAGGAACGGTTCCTACATTTTTCACTTCATAGACACCACCCTTCTTAGATGATGGAGGAGTATTTTCTACCCTTTTAGTGTAATCTCATTGCTGAGAATTTTCGGATAATGTTTCAAAGAAATTCCACTCTTCATCCTCATCTTTAGTTAAAACAGACCCACCATTAGTAGCATCAACCATTCGTCGATTTTGGGGTATCAAGCCATCGTAAAAATAATTCATTTGTTGCCATTTTTTTAAATTATGGTGTGGACACCTATGAAGTAAATCTTTAAATCTTTCCCAACACTCGAAGAAATGTTCACCATCTTTTTGTGTAAAATTAGTAATTTCTCTGCGAAGGGCACTAGTTCTATGGATAGGAAAGAATTTGTTTAAAAACTTTTGTGACAATTGATCCCATGTGGTTATAGAACCTACTTCTAAAGCATTCAACCATAATTTCGCCTTATCTTTAAGAGAAAATGGAAACAAGCGTAAACAAGCTGAGTCATCTGAAATGTTTTGAAATTTGAAGGTAGAACAAATGTCAATAAATTACTTAGATATGGGTCCCTAGCTAAACCATAGACAGTTGGAGAACGCTTGGTTTAAGTTCAAAGTGTGTTACCGTAGTTGCATGCAACACTATACACGAAGGTGCATTGAATTGGATAGGGGATGAATAGTCCTTAAGAGATTTTGGTTTTTGTTCATCCATTTCATTAAATATGGAACACTCACCAAAAAAAAGTTGAATCTAATAGTCCTTAGAATCTACACCCACTAGTCGACCAATAGAATCACGTGTCCAATAGATCATAAACTAATCTACTCTATAATAAAATAAATGCAACTTTAAGGATATTTCTAATAATATGATGCGCACACAAAGCAAAATCAAACACAAAATAATCCACGCAATAAGCTTGACTCAATATTCATGTGTAGGATTAAATTTGTTAATTTTACTGTGGGGCTTCACAGAATTTTGAATTATTGCCAAAAAAATAAATAAAAAATTTGCTCATACTCTTAAGAAACCAAACACCTCAGTTCTTGCACCCTTTCAGGTACCGTTACACCCCCAGTGTATGATCTCTCTTAAATTTACACACTTCTGTTCTTGTACCTTTTCAGGTATTGTCACATTCCCCGATGTGTAAAAGTCAAGAGTTTTCCTGTTGAACGGGACAAATCGATCATGTCTAGTAATATAATATCTTATGGACTGGTCAAGTGAATTCAAATTCTAGTACTATAAAGCAACTAATTTAAAATAAACACAAACACCATAACCAAGCAAGCAAACAAAAACAAAATCGCGTGCAAATGCGGTGTTCAGAAAATTACCTTTGGCTCACTACCTGTGGGTAGATTTTTGCTAAGTGGAGATTACCACGGGCAAACGACCTATTTGT